AATGAGAGAGTGCTGTGGGATGGTCTGTATGTCAAGTGTGTTGCTGATTGGTCAATAAATAAATCACTGATTGGCCAGTGGCCAGGCAGGAAGTATAGGCGGGACAAGGAGGAGAATAAAGCTGGGAAGTGGAAGGCTGAGTCAGAGACACTGCCAGCCGCCACGATGACAAACGGCATGTGAAGATGCCGGTAAGCCATGAACCACATGGCAAGGTATAGATTTATAGAAATGGATTAATTTAAGCTGTAAGAACAGTTAGCAAGAAGCCTGCCACAGCCATACAGTTTGTAAGCAATATAAGTCTCTGTGTTTACTAGGTTGGGTCTGAGCGGCTGTGGGACTGGCAGGTGAGAGAGATTTGTCCTGACTGTGGGCCAGGCAGGAAAACACTAGCTACAAGAGAGTCATAAACATTTAGGTCTAATACTGGCTCCTACATTTGCAAGTTTAATCAGGACACTTAATGTTTCTAGATCTCAATTTCCTACTCTATAAGATAGGGAAAAATTATAAAATAAAAGGAAGATGCTCCATTGGGTGACTGTGATAATTAAATATGATCAGGCATATAAAATATTGACACAGAATAGATACCCAATAAATATTACCTAGTTGCTGTAATGGAAGTGTGGATATTATCCTTCACAGGGTAGTATAGAGATTAAGAACACAGTTGTTGGTTTTTTTTTCCTGAGTTGGGATTCTGGCTTTACCACTTACTCATTAGCTATAAGAACAAGTCTAAGCCACTAAATCTGTTTCAACCTTGCTTTTCTTTTTTTTTATTTATTTTTTATTTTTTTTATTTTTTTATTATGTATACAGTGTTCTGCCTGCATGTCAGAAGAGGGCACCAGATCTCATTACAGATGGTTGTGAGCCACCATGTGGTTGCTGGGAATTGAACTCAGGACCTCTGGAAGAGCAGCCAGTGCTCTCAACCTCTGAGCCATCTCTCCAGCCCTCAACCTTGCTTTTCTGTAAAATGAAAATAAATAATAGCTAGTACCTGGTCACAAAGTAGGTGTTCAATAATTTTTTTATGAATAAGAGTTTGAGGGTGATACAGGACTGCGGTGACAAGATATGCCTCCCTCCCCCATTTCTCTCCCTCTTCCTCTCCCTCTCCCTCTTTACCCCTCTCTCTATCACACACACACACACACACACACACACACACACACACACACACACACAAAGAAACACACAGTGTGTATGTGTGTATGTGTGAGTGTTTGTCCATGTGTGCATGTGTACACACTCATACATATGGGGTAGGGATGCTGTACAAAACATGTGTTGTTGTGTCCTTTAGTTCTCTGGTTTTACCATCCCCTGTGGGTTGTTCTTGGTTACATTGTTTGCACTCTGTTCCACCTTAGCTTTGTTCAAGCACACATACTTCTTCAATCCTTGCTGCCTCAACCAAGAATATGTTTAATTGTCTTTGCACAGAAGAGTCTGGGGATTTGGTGGCAAGAGCAGGTGGGGACAGCCCCATGTCACACCACCTCAGAGCTGCTACATTACCTTAAATTGATTTTGCAAATGAAAGCTAAAAGCTAAGCAAAGGCAAACCATCCATTTTGCCTAAAGATGATTATAATGCTCTTTTATGGCCTCCTAAATGACAAAGCAATTTGTTACCTGCCTGCATCAACATTTGCTTATATTAGTGCCAGAGAGGCTTGATTTTTATTAGCCCCACGTTATCATTTTATGAAGTCACAGGGGCTCAGTAAAATTAGTGTGCAAATAGAATGCCCGTTTTGCCTTTCCCTGTGGTCAGCAGAAACGTAGAATGCAATTGAGTTGATACCAGGTCAGGGGAGGCATCCATAAAGTCAGCCTTCACTGAGGGCCTTGGTAATGTTATTCATTATTTCTGAACTGTTGGAAGACATGGGGCCAGTGTTAGGTATCATTTTTTTATGAAGCGTTTGGGGGTGGAGGTTAAAAAATTTTAAGTGGAAAGGAAATATAAATACTAAGACAGTAGTTCAATTTCCATCGGCAATAAAGAATGAAACCAGTCTCTTGTGTACATTGCAGATGGAACTGCAGCAGATGTAGGACTGTATAATGTTAGTGGATCCACAAGGCAGACAGGGTAGAGAAAGGGACTCAGGCTTGGAGCTAGGGCTGGACTGCTGGCAGCGTGACCTTGGCTGTATCCATTCCTTTTGTGGGTGTCAGATCTCTCAACTGTAAGATGGCATGAACACACCCAGTCTCATAAGACCACCATGAAGATTTACATGGAATAGCAGGTGCCTGAACTTATTGATGAGAAATATCTATAAAGTGTTTTCATTTATTAATTTAGCAACCAGTTCCTCGGTATCCATTCCAAACAGGCTCCTAAGGAAGACATTTACCAGTAGACATCATTTTCTCCTTGCAGTAGCTTATATTCTGTCCAAGAAATGTACAAGTGCTTAGCTCTTCTGAGACTATAAATATATTCTCTCCCCTCAAAGGTACCCAGCATAGAGCTGTACGCTATGCTTGCTGGTCACCCCACTGGACCAAATAAGCCACATACATTTAAGAAAATGTTTATATTACTTACTTACTTACTTAATTAATTAATTAATTTTAGACAGGGTTTCTCTATGTAGTTCTGACTCTCCTGAACTCACTATGTAGACCAGGCTGAATTTGAACTCACAGAGATCCACCTGCCTCTGCCTCCTGAGTGCTGGCATTAAAGGTGTGTGCCACCATGCCCAATTTTAGGACAACAGAATTAAATTTGCTTTCAATTTTCCTCTTTTTTTTAAATGTGTATGGGTATTTTGCCTGCATGTATGTCTGTGCACATGTGTGTGTAGTGCCTTCAGGATTCTGAAGAGGGCGTGGGATCCCCTAGAACTGGAATTACAACTAGTTGTGTGCCACCCTGTGGGTACTAAGAACCAAACCCAGATCCTCTAGAAGAGCACCCAGTGCTTTTAACTCATGATCCATCTCTCTACCTCAAGAGTTGATATTTTTATCTCTTGTGTCTGACATTGATGTATCTGTTGTGATGATGAACCACATTCAAAATGACCTTCCCCACCATTTTAAGAGAATACCTGTTAATTATTTCTGTGCCTTCTCCCTCCAGATTATCCTCTTAATATAGATAGGGCTCATTTAATCAAAATTTTCTCAATGTTTTCCTAAGTTTCCTTTGTTTGTTGTTCTGTTGTGCACCACTCAACCCTTCCTCCAATGGCTGAGTAACCCTTCTGCATTCATTTTAGGAAGGCTATTCTTACCTATTGTTTATAAGAATATGTATACATATGTATGTATATATATTATCTTTACATAATGGCTGAACTTTATTATACAGGCCAGATTTCTGTAACAACAGAATCTGACTCAGGTCCTATTTTCCTGCTTTTCTATATATCTAATAATTTTTATTATATGCTGAATATTACAAAATATATACATTGTTGAGTATCTGGATTTTATTCTCTTTCCTTCAAAAGAGTTGGGCAGTTAAGTTTCTTTTCCAAATTTGATTCTTTTCTGATGATTATAAAACCTTGCTAGGGTCTTTCTGGAGTCTTTTAGCCCTACCTGTAAGATACATCCCTTTTGAGTTCTCACTCTTCCTGTACGATCAAAAAAGATTTATTCTTTGCAATTAGCAGTTCAGATTTTGTCTTACTACTTCATGGAAGCTAGGAGGCAAAACAAAGAGAGTTGGGATATGGGGCCCTAGCCTTCAAAGGCACATCTTCAAAGACTCAATATTCCTCCACTAGGCCTTGCCTGCTAAAGGGTCTACAATCTTCCAGTGGTGGCTTAGGCCAGGGAATAAGTCTTCAACACACTCTAAACTCAAACTATAGCTTGAAGTTTCACTCTATATATGCACAGAGTTTGGGACCTAACGAAGACTCAAGAGGGCTCCTTATAGATTTCTGGAACTCTTTTTCTCTACTGGAATTCAGGAATCCTTTCCATAAACTGCTGCCTGCTAACCTTGAATCTCAGGGAGACTTCCACGGTGTGCTTAGGATATTGCACCCTGCTCTTCACTGTGTAATGGACCATCAGAAAAAGACAGGGCAACCATGGGGCATGCTTATTTGTCCCCTTTTCTCATGAGTAATCTGGTACTGGCCCTTGTATCTTATACAGCATCTAAAAGTAGTTGTTTATTATATTTTATTTCGTTTTACAGATTTGTTTGTTTGCATTTTTCTTTTTTTTCCCCAATGCTAGGAGTCAAACCCAGACCCTTATATGTACTAGACCAGGTTTCTACCATTAAGCTACCCCTGAAGACCTAGTTTTCTAGGTGTTCAATGTAAAAGGATCTTTATCACCACCAAAACAAAAACCTGAATTCTAATCTCATCTGCTAGCACCTATTAACTGTATGACCTTGAACAATTATATCATTTCAATGAACTTCAATTTCTGCCTCTATAAGAGGAGTATGAGCTACATGTTGCTCTAAAGATTATGAATATAGGTATATAAAATGTATCTGTCACAAAAGGGGTTAATGAAGTAATGGATGCTACTTTTACTATTATAAATAGCTACCTTTTTATTCTATCATTTACTAGATGTTTGCTAGTACTATGTGGTATGTAGCCTTGTTTCATTATCACAATCAAATTAAACAGATATTATTCTCCTCATTTATAGTTAAGAATACTGAAACTCAGAAAGATGTACAACTGCCTATGTACACAGTCAGTGGCTTTGGGGTTCAACTTCACTGACAGCTTCCTCAGATGGTTGTAAATATTACATATTAATATAATATTCTAAGTTATACAAAGAAAAGGGAATGTAGTCATTTAATATTAAATAGAGGTATGATTAGTCAACAATGGCTGATCCTTAATGATTCTAACCCAATGATTAAAAAAGAAATAAAAGGAAAGCATCCATCTAGCCTCTTCCTTAGCTGTCTCCTTTCCACATACCAACTTCTAGTCTCAGCTTGCTTTCCATGGTGACCTCCCACTTGTTTCTTTCAGAAAATCTCCGAGAAGGAACAGAAAAGAAGGTGATATTCATCACAGGACGGGTCCACCCAGGGGAAACGCCATCTTCTTTTGTGTGCCAAGGTAAGCTCGGGGTCTCACGGGTGTCCTGTGCCTGCTAGATATGTATGTGGGTAGAAGGGTTACAGATTGGAAATGTTGACTACTAACTCACTTAATTCAATCATTTACTTAACAACTTTTAAAATACCTACTATGAGCAAGGAAGTGCACTTGGCCTGAGATAACCAAAGGTAATATAATTTCTCTGCTTTAGTCTATTTCTTTATTCAGTGTAATTTAGAGTAATTGCATTTATATTTATTGTCAAATACTTCATTTATATAAGGGAATTAAGCAGCTATCATCATGAACATAGATACATTCAATAAAGAAGATATAAATAGCACAGAGTGTCCAGGCACCCAGCAGTTTAAGAAGCAGTTAACCCACTCCTTTCCAATTGCAGACATTAGCCACTTACTTCCAATTCTTTGAACCATCCTCCCTCTCTCCCTCCCTCCCACAGACCATGACCTTGATTTTTGTGTTTTGTCATTTTCATCTTTAAGTTTAACTATATTTGTAAACATCTTTAAACAATGTATGTTTTAGTTTTTCCTGTTCTTGCACTTTGCACCAATATCATCGTTCTATATGCACCGAGGCTTGCTTTCCACTTGGTATCCATGTGGGTGAGTAGTGCTCCAGTTTGCATGCTTTCCCTCACTGTATTATAGTCCATGTCTGTCTGTAACTCAATTTACTTATCTATTCTCCTGATGGTGATCAATTAAGTTGTTTACAATTTGTTTCTTCAAAACAATGCTATTCCAAACATTCTTACACTGTAATGTGTATGTGACCTGTGTGTACATGTAAATTCTTTCCTAGGGTTAACAACATGGAGATACAATTGTTGGGTCATAAGCTATGTGCATTCTCAGCTTCATTAGGTCCCCCAAATTTTTCTAAGGAATATTTAACTTTATGGTGCAACCAGCCACATGTGAGTTCTTACTGTCTCACGCTCTTGCTAATATTTTATTTTTTCCTCAAAGCACTGGGGATTCAACCCAAGACCTCATACATGCTAGACAAACTACCACTTAGCTATAACCCTAGCCCTTTAAAAGAAAGTTTTAGTTTGAGAAAGGACCTCTTTAAGTTGCCTGGATTGGCCCTGAACTCACTAGTTAGCCCAATCAGTTCTCCAACTTGCAATCCTTTAGGCTCAGCATAGGGAGTAGCTGTGATTATAGGCATGTGCCACCACGCCCAGCCATGATTTGTACCTATCATGCAAAGTAGTATGATATTGTACATGTACCAAATACTATTCCAGGAATTTATGAATTTTAATTATAGTTTATTTTAATTATATTAATCTTCTATGTCACAGAAACTAATATTAGCTATGTTTTGACATATGAGAAAGACTGAAATTTGAAGAAACAATTTGTCTCATTTCAATCTCAAGATGACCATGTGCTAAGAGGGGTTTGAGAGAGCTTCTGAAGGTTACACAGCTCAAGGGCATCGTGATACAGTACAAGTATACAAAGATTTGGAATCAGACAATGCTGAGGTCAAATACTGGCTAGACCACCTCCTTGCTGCATCACATCAGTTCCCTCAAATGTAAAATGAGGCTAACAGAACTACCCAGGAAGGCATTAGGAAGCTGGCAGGAGATAAATGTAAACACAACACCTAGTCCTATGCCTAGCATATAGCAGGCTCTTGACAGATGCCACCTCCGTCCCCATGGGAACCCGAGAAGATGAAGTAGTAATCTACTTTGCAAACTCTCAAGCACTGTGCATATAAATAAGGGTTTCATTTTTCTGGTCCCATTCTTCCCATGCTGTTTAGGCACAACTGTCTCCCTCTCTTTGTCAGCTGATGAGACCAAGTCTCAGGGAGAGGATGTGATCGGCACAGAGTCCAGCAGCTTGTCAGCTGCATGGCTGGGCCCCAGTCACTACAGCTGATTCCTTCACACTCTCATTTCTGGCCCCCAGCACTGTCCTTGCAATAACCTTTCCCAGGCTCTCCTGGGTCCGCCTGCCCCTTTACTCGAAGCCATCTGTCAGTTACTAAACTTGGCAACAGCTCTGTTCTCCCAGCTGATTGAATGTAACTGCTTTGCCCTTGTTTTCAAAAAGGCAGTAAGTCTTGGCATCTAGATTTTCATCTCTAGGAAGCCAAACCCCTGTGCTCACCATGTCTGTAAGCAGTACAGAGGGTCAGCATCCCATTGTACAGATGAGGATCTCGGGTGCTCCCGTTTCCTGAACAGTGATCTTGGATGGTGCTAACTTGATGCCTCAGTGCTGTCCTAAAGGCTTCCAGATACATATTTACTCCTTGGTAGAATTTCTGAATGCCTGCTCACTACTTTCTCAAGGTACGCTCCAGCCTCATGGTAGAATCCACAGCCCACCATGATCTCACTCTTGCCAAGCTCTCTGATATTACCCCAATTACAACTCAGTCCCACACAGATTAATCTCAGAGGGGCAATCTTCTATCACCTAGTTCTTGTCCTTACCACTCCCTCTGCCTTGGAGGTCACTTCTTGACACTTTGCAATGTTTCCTGTCTTCTAAGGTTTATTTGAAGTGTCCCACCATAGACCTCTATAACCCACTCCCTCCAGTCCTCTGCTTTTTGCTTACATTGAAAATCTGAAGATTAACATCATCAATAAAGACCTTTACTACGCTGACTTGTTATGTGATCTATGTACATTTGTCCTTTCCATTCAAGCATGATCTACTTAAGGTTTAGGACTGGCTGTCCAGTGGACACTTTCCACATCTGGAAAACAGGGTTATCTTGTTCATTATCTGGGTCTGTTGTGAGGGACAAAGGCTGTGTTGGCTCTGGGTTGCTAAAACTGAATTTAGAAAGAGAAGGCTCAAGGTCACACAGCCAGCAAGTAGGAGAGAGGGGACTTGAGCTCGAGTCTAGCCAGATCCCCAGTCTGTGCCCTGTCCCACCCTGGGCTGAGAAATGCTAGAAGGTCAAGTTTTGTACCTGGAAGAACACAGAGTTCTGACCACCCCACTTGATGTGCACTTTCCAGGTAGAGATGTGAAGGCTCTGAGAAAGTAAGGTGGCTTACTGAAAATGGAATCCACTTCCCTGTTTAGCTCCCTGTCTTTCCCTATCTCAGCATCTGTCCTTTGAGACATATAGCAATTCATCTTTCCTTGAGGCAGCACAAGGCAGGCACCATTACCCATGCTTTTCTGCCTACTTTGGGTTTGTATTCCGTGGGGACAGCCTGAGCCAAGCCCCATAGGGCAAAGCTTTATAGTAGTTAGAGCCTGAGGCTTAGTCCCTTTCTCCAGCCCCCCTGGCTCTGGGGAAGTACAGGTCTGAGGCCTAGGGGGTAGGGTGGTAGGGAATGGTGACAGTGACCTTGAGCAGGAAACAGGCCTGGAAAGCCTGGTTGTCTCCATCTGGCTAGGACCATAGTTCTCACTGCCGAGCTGCTAGTGCACCTGCTTCTGGGAGTATAGCGGAGTTCTGTCATCACAGGTATCTGGAAGAGGTGGTATTAAGGATGGCAGGATTTAATTTTTTGAAGACTGCTTGGTTGTGGAAAGCAGAATCTAGGCCACTCTTCCATCACCCCACTTCACTGTGGCCCCTGTGAGACCAGACTAATTTCATTCTCTAGTTAGGATAATTTGAGAGAACAAAGGAGCTCTCACGCTGCTCTATGGCAGGGTATGTGAAGCCTTAGTCTCTTCATAGACAGAGAGATTGGATCCCAGCACCTCCACTTTTTACCCCGTGACTTTGGGAATGTCACAGAACCTCCCTGCACCGCAGTTCCTTTACCTCAAAGAGAAACAGTAGGAATTCTGCCGCATGGGGGTTGTTATAAAGACAGAAGGAGCTAACAGCCACAGCCATGTAGAACAGTGTCTGGAACATAGTGATGAGGAAATGTCAGCAGTGGTGAGGTGGGAAGCCAAAGAGGCCACTTTGCAGGCCCCAAACTCTCAATGAAGCATTTCCTGCCTGGCTTTTCTGCCCCTCACTATGAACCTTCCCTCAGTGGCTCTGGTGCTCTGTGACCTGCTCTGCCTTGCTGCCTTGGGGAAGCCCTGAGCTGGGTCCTCCTCACCTGGAATCTCCACTGCAAGTTGGAAATTTGACCAGAATCTAGATCTTGGTCTCTGACCTCTGGGCAAAGGAGTGCCTCTCTGAAACTCCCCAAGGCCCTTGTATTTTCTCAATTCAAAATGAAATCTCCCTCTGAGGTGCACTCTGTCCTCTTCAGACTCTCTTATTGAACTGATTAGCTCACCTTTGTGGATTGCTTCTTCCAGGAAGGCATGCCTCACTCAGGAGGGCAGCAGGCATGGCTGAGGTTTGGAATTCAACAGGCCTGGTTTGAGTCCTAATACTTCTGTCTGCCCATTTGAGTACCTTCAGCAAGGCTTTGGCTCTCTGAGCCTCTGTATCCTCATCTCAAAAATGGTGTAATAATATCCTGTGTGAAGATCCCTACAGTTTGGCAGCTATTCCTGTGTCCTGGAGAAGTGAATGGACACACTGAACATTGCCAGGCAAGTTAGTGGAGAGATGGTCTCCTTCCCTGCCTGGATCCTTCCTACCGAAGTGCCCTCCACCTAAGGACTAGTGTGTGTGTGTGTGTGTGTGTGTGTGTGTGTGTGTGTGTGTGTGTGTGTCTGTGTGTGTGTGTGTGTAAATGAAGAACTGGTCTTCTCAGGGAGTCACTCCCCAGGATTACTTTGTCAGGAAGAATTGAGAAGGGAAGAGTTCTTGCGCAATGCACATCTGTGTGTGGACGCACAAGTGCATGCACATGCTGTCACACCACCATTTCATAGTCACCAATACCGCCAGCCATCAAGATCCAGCAGCACCTAAAGTTTCCACTATTTGTCCCTCCCTCCCCAACTCTGCTTTGATTCCCACATCTGTTCCTCTTTGATTCTTCCTCTTCTCCGTCTATGGTCCAATCAGCCTTACATCACAAGTGAAAAGGAGCTTTTCACTTTATATCTGTGAAATGGGCAGAGCCCAGCATGGAGGCAGAAGAATTAAATTCTGTGAACCCTATGATTCCATCATTTGAAAACATTGGGCTTGGCTGAGGGCAGTAAGAGTCTAACACAGTCAGGGGAGGCCTGGAGTGACTACAGTTGTACGTGTGGTAACCTGGGCCCAGCACATGCCTCTGCTGCTGTGCTGTGGATCTGGGCTCCTCTCATTCCAGGATGCCACCTCTGAACAGAGAACAGAAACAACGAACCTCACCCAGAACTCTCTGGAGAGGAAATCATTCCCACAGATGCAAAACATTCTCTAAAGTACATGTGAGCAATCTTCTAGTTCTTTCCATCTTGCCTGAACAGAAAAAGCACTGCTTTGAAGCCAGCAGAACTAGGTCTAGATCCCATCTAGGCCCCCATGAGTGATGTCAGCTAGTGATGTCACACTCTGACTTTGTTTCCTTGCCTGTAAAATGGAGCCAGAAGCACTGCAAATCAGTCCAAATACTAAGTATACAGTTGCTATTGAGGCTCTGACTTCAATCGTTTCATATTCATCTATTAAATACCATTGCTGTACCAGGCGCCAAGGCCCTGAGATATGACAGAAGCAAACAGATCAGTCTTCCTTTCCTGGAGCCTTGGACCCGAAGGAAGGCAGACACAGCACACACAAACCTTGATCCCTCAAACTCACAGGCTCAGCAAAGTTTCCTTTCCGTATTCTTCTAGACTCAGTTTCTATTTTGAGGTCATATTCTTTTAGTCTGATGGCTTCATCTCAGGCATTTCCTACAGGGTTGTTGGATTAGAGCCGATATCTTGACAGCCTCATTTCCCCTGCACTGGAGGCATCCTCATGATTCTCCAGGGCCCTTGTTGGTCAGCCATGGGTCAGGTCCTGGCTCCTCATTGCCAGGTGCTTTATATCTATGAGCTCTACTCTGCACATCTGCCCCTCCTGGCTGCCAGAGCATACTGTATGTAGCCAGGAGCACTCTCCAAAACCCAGAATTGACCTGTGTCTTCCTAGCTTTAATTCCTATAGTGATTCTCTAGTGGTTTTTGTTTATATATCACATATAAAATAATATATGGTATATATTATGATATGTATACATACATGCATACATACGTATATAGCCTTGCTTGCTTCTCCTATTTGTCCTTCACATTTCTCCTCCCTTCCCACCACCTATGAATACATCATTGAAAGCCATGATTAAAACAACACATGTACATGCTTACTCCATGTGCGAGACACTTGGTTTGTATCAACTCATAGACTTTGTAGTATCCCTAATAATGATCACTCTCTCATTTTTAACTTCTGGGGAAACTGAGGAGTGGAGAGAGTAAGGCCACACAACAAATGAATGGTTCCTAAGAAGGAAGAAAACCTGGAGACTACAGTTTCCCACTGTACTTTAAGCCCCGAAGTAAAGCCCTTGATGAAGAACTGTGTACTGCCAAGGAGGCCATCTTCTTTTTTGCCACTGAGACTTGGCGTAAGCATTCCTCTGCCTGGTTACCTTCCTGATACCTTTCATCTTGCTCACCCACCTTGCTGGCCTTTTCCCCAAGATCCTTTCTCACGCCTGTCCCTACCAGCCTTGGTTGAGTTAATAGCATTGTGTGGGTTCTAATGACTCTGTGCAGCTCTCATTAGGACCTTGCCTGGTAAGTGTGGATTCGCTGTCTTATTGTGCATGACTTCACTGCAATAACACTGTATTTGTCTTAGAATGCCCAGTTTGCAGGGTGAGTGGCTGTCAGTTCAACTAACCTTAGGCTTTGTTGGAGATGATCCATCAATAAGCATTTCTTCTCTCTCTTTCTTAAAAAATATTTAGTTTTACTAATTAAAATTCTGTGTACTTGTGTGTATCTGTGGGGGCATGTGCACGTGAGTGAAGGTACCCATGGAAGCCAGGGGCATCAAATACCCCTAGCTTTAGAATTGCAGGCAGTGTATGAGTCACCTGATGTGGGTGCTGGAAACCAAACTTGGCTCCTCTGCAAGAGCAATATGTGCCCTTAATGGCTGAGCCATCTCTCCAGCCCCATCAATAGCACTTCTTCAGTACCTGCTGTGGGCCCAGTCCTGAGCCAAGCATTCTAGAAGAAATAAGGACAATGGAGATAAGGTTTGATTGAATATAAGGTTGGTCTGGCAAAGCTCATCCTGGTCAACTGGAGAATGACATCAGGCAGGAATCTCTACATCTAACTTTGATTTTAGATCTTCAGCCACTTTCTCTGCCTTCCTTCCCTTCCTGTTGTCCTGTTTGCCCCAGTCTTGAAGATACATGCTTAAAGAAAAAGACATGACAAAATCATGGCTGTACCAAAGACTGGTGTCATGGGGGCTATTGGTGTCTCCCAGCAAGGTGGAGGCTATCCCCACCTCACTTGACAGATTAGGTATCATCCTTCCATTGTAAAATGAGAAAACTGGTCAGAGCAAGCTCTGAACACTTTCAGCCAGTAATCAACCAAGACTCAAATCTAAATCCCCAGGTCTTTTCTGCTTCCTGGATCCCTCTGCTCTCTCCATCCATGCAATGCTTTTGACTATGCACAGGCATGACATTGCCTCTTCATGATTGCTGTCTCCTATGTTCCTTCTCACTATGCTTCACTTCCTGCTACCTTACCTTTCTGAGGTGGCCCTCTAGCCAGAACCTCCTCAGCCATTCTTGGTGTCATCAAACCTCTGGGCACCTTAGCTTAGTCCCTCTTCTATAAACCTTCCTACAAAGCCATAAACACAGAGAGATCTAATGATTCGTTCTGCTCTTCTCAGAAGACAAGTCAGGGTCTGGGGAGAGGGGTTGGGCAATACATTGCTTGCCTTGCAAGCACAAGGACCTGAGATTGACTCCTAGCATATGTGGAGGTGGGCGCAGGGATAGAAAGACTGGCGGGTGGGAAAGGTTCTTGTTCAGTTAACTCTGACTTTGAGCTAAGTGATAAGGCTAAAATTTACCCTCTCATTGCCCCAAATCCACCTGGGAAAGTGAGCTCTGGATAGCTATAGTCTGTCTGGCTTTGTTTTTCCTCATTCTTTTATTAGGTGCCTAATTGGCAGCCCAATTAATCTGCTCATCTGTGAAGGAGGTGAGTGCCTCCATTTCCAGAAGCCATTCTCTGAGGCAGCATGGCTCAGCCCTGAGTGCCGGCTGGCTCCTTGATGGAGAGCTGCCCAGGGAGCCAGGGTCAATTAGCGGACAGATTAAGCAATTATTAGCCCCTAACAAGGGCGCCTGGCATCATTACCCTGCCTGTTTATTGGCAAACTGCAACTCTAATATGAGGACCAACAAATAAATTAGGGCATCTGGTCCACTGCCGCGTCAGCCGAGAAGTAAATGATGTCCAACTGGCCCTGGGCTGCCCATGGATTCTCAGCCTGGCATAATGAAAAGCCTGAGATGTCCCTTGCTGGTCACAGCAGCTTTGGAATGAACTCTGAAGTGATTTATCATTCCAAGAGCTAAGTTTCTGCTGCTGAGCACATTATTGTTCTTAGTTACCCTGCTGTCTTCCTCATGCCTGTCTATCAAGACCTGCAAGGGCCCAGTTTAAAGGCTTCCTCTCTTCCAGTGAGAAACAAGTCCCCTCTGCATTTGGGAGACTCTCCTACCACTTTATGGCATACACCAATTTCATGAAATGTTAAGAGTAGTATTTTGACTATATGTTTAGGTCTTCAGTGAAGAAAGAGGTACATGGAACAGAAGAGAGGGGCAGGACTGAGACCAGTTTATGTCCCCCAAACTCTTTCCTATGAATAGATGCAGAGCATCACCAGAAGGATACTAGAGGGCATACTTCAGGAAGGTCCCTATGGTTATGTGATGAGGGCAACCTCTTGAATTTGTTGCTGCCATCCAGGACCACCAAAGCCCAACTCAAATGCTTGGAAACCCTCTCTACTCCATCTGCATGAAGTGCTTTTCCCCTCTTGTCCCTAGGCCTCAATGCTATGTTTTGAGCTACCTTCTCTTAGAAACAAGGATATATTTGGACAATCCATTGGGAAACACCTAGTCATATATCCAAATATCCATAATTATATATGACAGTAGCTGATGACAGAGGCCAAAAGTCACTGGCCCTCTTGTCATTTTATGGACTAAGGAAAATGTGCCCTCTCCTTTTGAAACAGTTTGAGGCTAATCCAGGCATGTCTCTCTCCCTAGGGATCATTGACTTCCTTGTAAGTCAGCATCCAATTGCCCGTGTCCTGCGAGAACACTTGGTCTTCAAGATTGCACCAATGCTCAACCCTGATGGAGTCTACCTAGGCAACTACAGGTGAGGGGCTGGGGACAATGCTCAGAAGCAGGAAGTGACAGGATGGAGGTATGAAAACAAGAAGGAGCCAATAAACTTGAGAAAGAGTTTATAGACTAACCATTAAAGGAATTATTAGAGAAATTTAAAGATTAGAGAACATTTTACTCAACCTCCTGAGTGCAGCTAATGTCCTTGGCCATTTATAGACAAAGCAAAGTCACTTGCTGGAGTTTTCTGAACAGACTGATAATTAAGAACCAGGAAAACTAATATTAATTTTAGCACCTCCTTCCTCCATGATCTTGAGGGATTCACTTTTCCTCTTTGATGCTCAATTTCTCTTCTATAAGAGACAGTAATTCCCCAGCAGGGCAGTAGTGTCAGAAGGAATGATGAGGAGAAATGTGTTTTGCAGAATCTTAGATGATGGTTATAATGTTCCCTGATCTGTTGCTGTGTTCCTCCTGGAAGATCATTAATGAGGGAGAATAGCAGCCCAGATCATGTGGACAGTACTTGTCTTAGGCTGCCTCACTCCTGCTCATGTGCCATATCTTGAATGTTCTTTCTCCTGTCGTAGAACCATCATTTACAGCCTAAAATTCCACTGCCCAGGGGATCATCTGCCAAAAGAACACTGAGTTCTCAGAGATAGACAGTCTTATTACCCTTATTTCACAGCTGAGGAAACTGACTTGCCCAAAGCCACATAGCAGTAGATAATTGACTGTCTAACTTCACTGCCCAAATGGTATGACTTTATATTTGATCAAGCCCATCACCTTCAAGACAACACCAACCTCCCCAATCTTTGCATGCAAGGCTTTGTGTGACCTGGTGCCTGTGTCTGCACTGACTTTAGTCTGCCCCACTCTCTTTTCTCCCAGAGATGTGTCTCTGACTTCTCCAAGCAAAGCCTGTTGCCATAGACAAGCATGTTGGCTCCTGCTACTTTTCTTTTATGACCGGGGCCTCTTTGTAGAATCATCTCATACCTCATTTGCCAGTTAACTCTCTTGGCAACTCAGCTCATGTCTGTCTTCTAGAAATCATTTCCCTAAACACCCAAAAGAAGTGGCAACTCCCTTCTGCTTCTCACAGGCCTGGTTATCTAAAAAGGAACAGGAAGTCACTCAGTCATGGGAATTCATTACTACAGTTTTGGAAGGTGTTCGTAAATCCCATTGAACTTCAGGTCACCAGAAGACAGGGCAGCCTTTGCATCCTCACTATCTAGCAGCAGGAATTAGCAAATAATAGATACTCAGAAAGTGATGAATGTAAGTGAATGAAAGGAATGGCTTTGATGAAGACAAAAGAAAATAGATCAGACTTCCAAGGCCCTTGATTGAGTTCAGATATAAGATCTCCGTACAACCAGCTAGAAAGATTTTACAGAAGACCACTTTACTACTCTCTAAAACCATGGAAATTGGGTCCAGAGGGGCTCTCTGGCACCCCTGGGTCTAAGAGAGACCCATGGGATGCATGAAGCCTTCATTAAAGTCAATTTTGCTTCTTCTCTTAATTGGCTAGAGTGATGGCTCATTAGCATCTGCAGGTTTTACGGCTTGTTGCAGGCCCAAGAGTAATCCCATTCTACCTTCCCCAGACAGAGTGTGCGGTTAGGGATAATAGTGGTGGAAAGACCATTTGATTTATGTTAACAGTTCTGTTTAATTACAAGAGCTGCAGTGGCCAGAGAGAGGTCAGTTCTGCCACTCCACATGCTTATTTATGTCATCATCTGCTGTCCAGAGAAGGGCTAGCTGGAAATAAGTCTATGACCTTGGTCAACATGGCTCCTTTCTCTCTGCTTCATATGGCCAGGAAATAGGAAGGGGAATTAGATGTTTTCAATACATCTTCAAGGTTCAGACTTTGTGACTGGGGGCAGGTAGCTCCAACCCTCAGAAATGATTTCATGGTGAAGTTTCAACTCCCAACATTCTCCCAGTAAGAAAATATGATTCTTTCTCATTATGAGAGTTGCAAAAAGTCTCTAACCACAGCATTAATCCTGTTATTAAAACAGATCTGAGTAGCCAGAAGTAGCCTATCAATCATGAGAATTCATTTCTACAGCTTTGGAGTGTAGGAAAGATAGTAATAAAGACTCAGAATGCCTAGTTTCAAAATGCTTTAGAAGTCCCCATGCCGGTTTCTCCCATGCCAGTTCCTCCTCCCAAGCTCTCTCTGCAGCCGTATTTCTTGGGTTTGCCATGGCTCTCTAAGATCTATGGCAGGAAAGATAATCTGGAGTTCAAATAAGTTTGGAAAATGCTGAACTAAATGAAGTTAAACATAGCTTTCACAATAAGACTTTTCAGAACGTTGCATATGGTCATGAATACAAGCAGTCCCAAAAGAGAAATGCAGACCTCAATGTTTCTAAAAGGTAAGTGCCACAGTCCATACATCCCACCTCCTGTGTTGGGTTTATGAAACATTTTAGGAAATGCCATTCCAAGAAGTCTGCTTGCTGACTCAATGGTCTGTCAAGCACTTACACATATTTCATTTAATCCTCAAGGAAGGGCTCTGGTGGGGGTTTTCTGCTTGCAAATATAAAAATCCACTCCAAGTAGCTTAGTAGTAGAGAGATGGTTGTGAGGGAGGGTGGGAAGGAAAGAGGCTGGTCCTTAGAACTCTGGGGCAATAAGCAAAGGATGCTGATGAGATCACAAGACACAGGTCAGAACACAGGCAGCCATGTCTCTGCTTCCCTCTCCATGCCCTTTTGACTTTCGTTCTCTCAGCATCTCCCTCTAGAGAAGCAAGGCCCTGGAGAAGCTGAAGAATCTGCCCCAAGTCTATGGCCAGTGACAGGCAGATGTAGATAAAGGCCTGTCCTCCCTGATGTCTACCCCGCTGCATCCAGGGCTGGACCTGGCCTATTCTGAGGCTAGAGTAAAACAGGTCTGCTCTGAGACACCTCATGGGTATAGGAAGGGAGATCACAGGCCACTTCCCTGCAGTGTGAAGGGATGTTGGGTCCTTAGAGTTATGAAGGTCAGTGAGTGATAACATGGGCTTTGTTCTTAGTCAGGTGTGACATCAACTTCTGATCCACTGTCTATGTGTCCTAGGACTTGGGATAACTGACACAGCCTCACTAAGTTCCCTGTCTATCTATTTATCTATCTATCTATCTATCTATCTATCTATCTATCTATCTATCTATTTAACATCACTTGTCAGTAGGAAATGAAAGATTATGAGACCTTTCGAAGACAATACACTTAAAGTACAGTACTGAGCACATTGTAAGTTCTAAATAAAAAAATCTATTTCTTCTCCCTCTTTCTACTCCCCACCCTATTTTCTCCACATTAAGGAAGCATGTGATCCAATATAGGGGAAAAACACAGTCAATTTCCCAGTTCTATTAGCTCAGCCTATATATTTAATAACCCAACACCTACACTATAGTCAGGTATAGTACTAATAGTCAGGTAGAGAAGGTTAATGTAACCTGGGGGTGTGGCTCAGTTGGTAGATTGATTGCCTAGCATTCACAGATCTCTGGGTTCAGTGTCCAGCACCACATAAAACCAGACATGGTGGCACATGCCTATAATCCTAGCACTCAGGAGGTGGAGTCTGGAAGGTCAGAAATTCAAGGTCATCCTTGGTGGCTACACAGTGAGTTTGAGGGCAGCTTGGGTTATATGAGAGAGAGAGAGAGAGAGAGAGAGAGAGAGGGAGAGAGAGAGAGAGAGAGAGAGAGAGAGAGAGAGAGAGAGAGAGAGAGAGAGAGACTTTACCCTAGAACATAATAGCAGCAGATGGCTGTTACACTATTCTGGGAATATTCATTATGTTAAAGAGCAGCAGTCTACTAGCTAGATTACTGTGTGTGGTATCATCCTGTGGCTGTGCTAAGAGTATATATGGCCTATATTAAAGTTTTTATCACAATATGCAGCAACCACAGTATATTCCACAGCAGTTTCTACAATTGTTATATCATATGATACCACAATACATGACCCTTACTGTGTATAATAAAGACGTAGGGCAAGTATGCACTCTGTCTTGCTCACGACACTCTAATTCCACTTCCCTTTCCCCCTGCAGATGTCAGGTCTCAAGCTAATCCATGGGAAGGCCTTCCCAGCACCTGCAATAGACAGTGGGCTCCCCGCTGCACTCTTTCATAGCACCTCGCATTGTCCTGGCCTGATTTGTAATCATGTATGTATGTGACTCTGTCTGCCTTGTTCCCTGTCAGACCTGCCATGGTGGCTGACACAGAATGGGCCCTTTATCTTTGTTTCCTGAATGAACAAATAAACTAAGCAGTGGTATGTAGTGATTGTGCTGCGACACAAAGCTAAAATCCCCAGAAGAGAGTAACTACAGCTAGATGCTGTCAGCCTCCAACCCCAACTGTTTAATCGCATACTGTTATGACATGAATACTCTTCTGATTTTAAAGGATGAGCGGCTGTTAGGACGGAACAGACTCTGGATTCTCGGGCACCACTTTGTTATCTCGTAGAGCCCAGTGCTCTTAAAAGCACCTAAATACTGTATTTGATCAGTGCAATGGTTTGAGAAAGGCAAGTCAGTTTTTACTATGTCCATTAGAAAAAATGGGAAACAGTCTAAGAAGGTGAAGGGCCACTGGCAAGGTTCCAGGCTTGCATCCAGGGTCTCTGGGCTCTAACTCTTTTATCAGCCTTAGATGGAGGCAGTTTTCTTTCCTTAGCCGCCAGGGCTTATTGTCTTGGGACAACACAAATTTCACTCCAAGCCTCAATTTTCCTCCAGCCTCCTTGGAGGAACTAAATGGAGTAACAGGCAACTTTCATCGTCTGGTAGATGTCCTGGGGGGAGGCTCTATCAGGAGAAGCACGGCCACCCCATGAATGAAACTGGAGAACAGTGATGCCAAGTGAAATAAACCAGCCACAAGAAAGACAAATACTGTTGGATTCTACTTACATGAGGTACTTCAAGTAGTCACTCCAGTCACAAACAGAAAGCACTATGATGGTTGTGCAGCTTTGGGA